TGGCGATGATATTAATGGTTCACCGGGACGCACCCATGATTTCTTGCGTTTAGGATTGTCGTAACGAATTCATTTTTCAGCGCCAGTCACAATTCGATGCAAAAACGACTTTCGTTTTTGTCCTTGGAGCAGCAATTCACAAATGGCTGAATGTTTCGCAATGTCGCTTTCTCCCAATTTCCTAACTTCTGGATCATTCCCATTGCTTTTAAATGTTTGCTAACGGTTGACACATCCACGTTTAATGTTTCCGACAACTCTTTGAGCGTCTGACATGACGCTCTTCTTGAAATAATGCCTCCAATTCTCCATTTTCAAATTTTGTCGGCTGATCAAAGCGCTCTTTGTCAAAATCGTGGTTTTTAAATCTTCTAAAACCAATCTCTGCCAATTGTTTCAGATAGAGCATGCTCCCCATAAACCTCCACTAGCAAACGATAACTTCTAGAGTAGCAGATTTCTTGAGGTTAAAACAGAAAAGTAACGAAAATGCTCTTTTTTTGGTACGAAACTCGACATTCTTACAAATGTTACATACTGATTATTAAAGCCTATTGATAGTACTTTCATATACATAAACAGTCACTTTCAGCCATGTCGAAACAGCACAAATACTGACCTCTTCCAGTCAGCAGCGAGAATTAATTCAAGCACCTAATATAATTGCAAGAGATTACTTAAAATATTGTGTCTACTGATAAATGTTGCTTTTACTAAATAAAGATTTTTGGAATTTGTGTTGTTACACACATATAGAGATATGAAGATTGATAAAGAAGCAGTATTAAGCAGTATTTGTCACAAAGAAAAAGTGTAAATTAGATATTTTATTATAAAATGTTATGTTTATATATATTATTTTTTTGCTCATATAATTTTAAATAAAACGTTTCATGGACTATACATTAACGTAGTACTTTTTCAATGTATAATAATATAAGTTAAAGTAGTAATTTAAATACTTTATATTTCACATATTTGACCTTAAAAAAATTTCTCCGCTAGTTATTATTATTATAAATACAAATATTGTACCGACAACTTTAATAATGGAACATATTAACTATATTATACAATACATTGAAGAATTTAAGATATCTATTTGCGATTTGTGTGTTACCATCTTACGCAATTTTGTCAACTTTGTTATTAACTAATTGGTGAGAACGAAAAATATTAGCTTTTGATTTGTTTCAAGAAGATACCATATAATAAAGAAGTGATAAACGATTGTTTACGGGAATCACTTTCTTCGGAATCGTTACAGAGTAGCAACGTTCTCATCCTCAAGCTCCATCGATAGAAGACTATCGAGGAACTCGGTGATGGCACAATGCTCTGCTCGAACTCGTAACTGCAGTCCGATTAAAGTGTTCCAACACGTTTCGTACTTCGTTCTTGTTCCAGCTTGCTCCTGTTACTTCTTACCCCGATTTTCTCTAACCCTTTCGTCGTTTTTCCATTTCTCTCTCTCTCTTCCCCCTTCCATCTCTTCTCTTCCCTCATATAGAAGGGCTTTCCATTGCAGAATACGTGCCCCGCCTGTTTTTCCCGATATCGCATCCATTTGGTGAGTTTGACGATTGTTAAACTCGCTCCAGGCGGTCCTCGAAAAGTTTCGCGCTAGGCGATGTATACGGTGTCGCATTCTTTGGCTTTAACGATCAAACTTATCCCGAGCGACGCTTCGACAACTATGCGGAAGACGACAAGAGAGCCCTAACGTTGGCGATTGGTGGCTTTTCGAACTGTTGTAACACCGTTGTTCGCTTAAAGCTTGAAACAATCGAAGTGTTTTCCACCCCGTTTATAGAATGTTTAATCCGTTGTATAGTCCAAAGAGATAATAAGCTGTAAATGATGTCACTCACCATCAGAAAAACTCTTTTATCTTCAATCAAAACTGTAAAAGTAGTACATTTTATTAAACAATGTCAGATGTAGATCAGTTTCAGAGTATATATGTATAAAATTAAAATGGATTTCTGTAGACAAGTTTCCGAAAAATTCTTATGAAATTAATGTAAGATTTATTTGTATAAATATACTTTTGTCAATTATACGCACTAATAACTGTGTCGATTGTTTAATATTTATTATTTTTTAATATTTTATTGTTTAATATTATTTAATATTATTGTTTTTTTTCTCAAGAACTCAGTTTAATATATGGTTATATCATTGGATTTCTGTACATTTTTCAAAATCTTATATTGTTTAAAACTCTATTTTTTTCATTTTATTCATTGTGTACTTTCACCTACTTTAAATAAATATTTTACATTACTTTTCTAAAACAATTTACTGAAAAATGGTTTTATTATAGATAATAATATAGGAATTCTACTCGTAAATATATATGTTATTGCATAAGCTTCATTTTATTATTAGAGCTATGCTGCAAAGTTATACTCTTATCTTATACTCTTATCTTAAACAGTACACAAGATTTTGTCACTCTATATTCCATAATAGAGAGAGAGATAATAAATTTATATATTATAAAATTTATTAATTTTATTTTGGATAATGTACTTATGATATTATATAATTATAATACAAAAATAAAATATTATCGCATCATACTTTTTGTGTCAACAATGCGAATTATTTATAAATGAAAGATAACAGTGTAAAACACATTGAAAATTTTAGATAAAAATGAAATCTTTGTTATTTATGTATGTACATACATATATAAATCACTTACTGAAATAAATTTATTTATTGTAAATCCAGTTCAGAAACTTTAAAACATTTAATGAAACAAAGATAATTATATGTACTGATGTGTATAATTAAAGATAAAATTGACACTTTAGAATATTTCAATCTTAAACTTTAAATTAGACATATATATTTGTAATTTTTATTAGTATTGTATTGGTTATAATTTTGTTTCAATATATTTTTAAGATATTGAGATTTTCAATTATGATTATACGTACGAATGTATTACACAAGACGTTGCAAAACATGCGTGATTCATCACATTTTACGTGTCGTCATAGCTGTCTGTAATTAGATGCAAAATACCTGTCTTGCTTTTCATAGCAAGAGTATTACACAACTATATTTGTCATGTAACTTAATAAAATAACAGTGATAAATACAATACTGCCTATAAAACGGATTTTCTACTTTTTATTCTTGTAACGTAAAATGTTTTTTAAAATCAGAATAACGCAATATAATTACTATATCGTAAATTAACTTGTAATACTTCTACTGCTTTCTGGGGTGTGTCACGAGTTTAATCATTTTTATGTACTAATAGAAAAGGAAATTTGGCTGTGCATGAATGTTGGGCATAAGTTAACTTCGCGATAAACGCTAGCTTGGAAAAATATATGGAAATGACAAAGTTATTCTGAGCGTACGGGTGCTTCTTTATTTAAAAGGCAGATTCGGACGAAAGAATAATTTCACCAATGTGCACGAAGGGGGGGGGGGGGGGG